GTCTCGCTGCCCAGACGGGTCTCGAACCCGCGGGCTCAGGCAATCCACTCACCTCAGCCTCCCAAGGCGCGGGATCACAGGCTGAGCCACCGAGCCCGGTTTATTTCTGTTCTTAAAAAAACATTTAGTCACTTTGGGAGGCGGAGGTGGGAGGATTGTCTGAGTCCAGGGGTTTGAGACCAGCCTGGGCAACTTGGCAAGACCTTGTCTCTATAGTAAATCAAAAAATTAGCCAGGCATGGTAGCATGCACCTGTGGTTCCAGCTCTTTGGAAGGCTGAGGTGGAAGGATCACCTGAGCCCTGCAGGTTGAGCCCTATGGTGGCCATGAACATGCTACTGCTCTCCAGCCTGAGCAACAAAGTGAGACTCCGACAAAATTTTTTTTTAAAAAAAGGAAAATACTTAGTCTCATGCAGTTGTGAGATTTCACTATTTAGCAGTGAGATGAAAGTGATTAAAAACTGCCAGTAGGCAAACTTGGGGCCTGACTTTTTAATAATAAATAGAGTTAATGCATTTTTTTCTACAGCACAAAAAGTGTTTTTGCCAATGAGTAGTAATTCGTTCACAGATTTAGGGGATCACAGATTTCAGCTTTATTTAGGATTTTTAAAAACACTAGCCTAGAACTGCCTGTGAAAATGCTGTTCTTCTGAAACCAAAGCACTTTGCTGAGCTGTGTCACTCTTCTGCCATTTCTGAAGGCATTTACAGATATTGAGCATTTATTGCTACAGTTTTGGCGCATTCATTTTAGCCACACTGCTGTCCATTATGAATTCCACAAGGCTTTAGTAATCACAGTGTAGGTATAAGATACTCATTCAGTCATTTCCCCTACTTAATCCATATATTCATGTATTTGTTCATTCCATGTTTATCGAATATGGGCTATTTGCAGTGCAGGTACTCCAGTCTTATCCAACATGACTACAAATTAGTAAGGTTTTTGTGATTAAACTCTATTTTAAAATTATTTATTTCTCGCCAGGCATGGTGGCTCTTGCCTCTGATCCCAGTACTGTGGGAGACAGAGGCCTGAGCTCAGGGGTTCAGGACCAGCCTGGACAACATAGTGAGACTTCGTCTCTTTGATAAATCAAAAAATCAGCCAGGCATGGTAGCATGCACCTGTGGTTACAGCTCCTTGGAAGGCTGAAGCGAAAGGATCACCTGAGCCCAGTAGGTCAAAGCTGCGGTGGCCGTGAGCGTACCGCTGCACTCCAACCTGGGTGACAGACTGAGACCCTAACTCAAAAACCAAAACAAAAACAGTTATTTCTTTACATGGGACAAAATTCAAAGGTGTAATAACAATGAAAAGAAAATCTTGCACCCCAATTCCCTAGCCATTCACCTCTCCTCAATAGTCACCCAATATTAGCGGTAACACTTTTGTTACTTTTATATACTTGTAGAGATATTCTATGTATGTTAAGTATATTCGTAGATATAGTTTTTGTATATACCAATAGCATACTGTATTCTGTACCTTTTTTTTATGTAACAGTTTCTAATGGTTAAGATTTATTGCTTTTTTGGTACATTAGATTAATTTCAATATCAAAATGAACACCATGCCTGTAATCCCAGCATTTTGGAAGCTGGAGAATTGCCTGAGCCAACAGGTTTGACAACATGGCGAGACCTTGTCTCTACAGTAAATCAAAAAAACTAGCCAGACGTGGTGGCGTGGGCCTATAGTTCCAGCAACTTGGAAGGCTGAGGTGGAAGAATCGCCTGAGCCCAGCAGGTCAAGGCTACAGTGGCCGTGAGCTACTGTGAGCTACCACGGCACTCTAGCCTGAATGATAGAGTGAGACTCCAACTCAAAAAAAAGAAAAGAAAAAGCTAGAGGAAGAAAGGCAAAACAGCAATGAATTATGTGAAGGTGTGCCCTGTTGTCCCATACATGGCCAGCATGCTACAAGTTGTTCTTTTGAAGGATTGACTCAACAGTAACCTGCTGAGCCAGTAAGTCAGAGCCCAGCAAGGGGGCTCTTAGTTTTCCAGTTTTTCTGGCTGAGTTTTTCTTATAAAGGCTCTAAAGAGCATCCTGTTCGATAGGAGTACTGAAGGTTTTTTGTTTTGTTTAAAGTTCTAATGAAGATAACCACTTGATTAGGTTAGCCGCTAAATACCTTGCATTTATCTAGCTGGTCCACCCACAGTATCTGATGAATCAAATTGTAGGGATATATCAGTGAATGTAAATCCTTTTTTCTGCCACCATAATTTGATGTACATACTCTATCTAGTAAGCTTTACATTTAAAAACTGAATGCCTATAATGTGCTTATGTTCCTTCAATTTATCCAATATTAGCCTGCCAATGTTTAAGATTTATTCATGTTTCAATGCATAAAATTAACAAAATATTAATATTTTATTATACTTATTTATTATTATCATTTTTTGAATGGGAGTCTCAGTCTGTTTCCCAGGTTGGAGTGCTGTGGCATGCTCATGGCCACCACAGCCTAAACCTGCTGGGCTCCGGCGATCCTTCTGCCTCAGCCTTCCAAGTAACTGAAATTACAGGCACGCACCACCATGCCCGGCTAATTTTTTGATTTATTGTAGAGACGAGGTCTCACCAAGTTGCCCAGGCTGGTCTCGAACCCCAGGGCTCAGGCAGTCCTCTCACCTCGGCCCCCAAAGTGCTGGGATTGCAGGCTTGAGCCACTACGCCCGACATAGCTCATTACTAAAATACTGATGTAAAAGATGTGCTGTAGTTTGGATGTTTGTCCCCCACAAACTTTACCTTGAAACTTGAGCCCTGTGTTGAAGGTGGAGGCCAAAGGGAGGTGTTCAGGTCATGGGGGCAGAGCTCTCCTGAGTGGCTTGGCGCTGTCCTTGCAGTAAGGAGTGAGTTATTACTCTGTTAGTTCCTGAGAGAGCTGGTTGTTAAAAAGATCCTGGCACCTCCCTCTCGTTCTCTTTGTTTCTCGCCATGTGATCTCTGCTCACATAGCTTCCCCCCACCCTCCGAGTTGGAGCCTCACTCTGTCGCCCAGACTGGAGTCCAGTGGCCGCTCCTGGCCACTGCAGCCTCGACTTGCCGGGCTCCAGCAATCCTTCTGCCTCAGCCTTCCAAGTAG